AGGAGGGTTGGACTGGATGACCCACAGAGGTCCCTTCCAACCCCTACTATTCTGTGATTCTGTGAACTGAGGCATAGCCAGTCATCAAACTGCATGGTTACACGAGAGTACTACATAAGTTTTTATGAGGAAGGAGGCTGGAAAATCATGTAAATTTTCCTTTTAAGAAGAATAGATAGCCATGTTAATTGTGTTTCTGATACAGTTAATTGAATGTTTTAAATGGTTTTCTGGTGGCAGGTCTATGGATTGCTGCCTGCCTGGCTTTATCGTACGCTAAATACTTCTATGAGCTAAGTGTGCTGTCTATGTCCTCATCAGCAAATCATTTTGTGGAGCATAATCACTAGAAGCTACTTGGCTAAAGGGAGAGGAAAGGAGTGCTGGGGCAAGAGGGCTTTCCTTTCTTTAACAAAGGAAGTGGTGAGGGGGGAGTGGAAATGAAGAAATGTCTGTGGTAGGTGAATAACTGAAATTTTGTTAGTCTGAATTAAAGATATAAATGCAGATTATACTTGTGCACTAGCAAAATAGAAGCGCACTTGTGTTGGGCCTTGTTTCTACAATAGTGTTTCTACTGTAGGTCTCGTGAAATGCCTGCAAGAGACTCAATTTACATATCTATTCAGGCTTTGACAAAATACGTACAACTGGATTCCAGTATACTATACTTACTATCCATTCCCTGCCCACAAGGATTAAAAGCACTTTTACCTCCCTAAATCATTTGAAAACCAAACCAGAACCTCACAACATCTGAACAGGAGAAGAAAACCAGTTAATAACAAGTCGTGCTGTTATCCCTGAAGGAAAAAACAGCAGAGAAGCTATTATGGTTTTTGGCCTGTTACGTGTCTCCATAATAGAGTTTTGAAAGCTCTGACATCAGTGTAATAAACTGGATCATTTTGACTCGCAGTAAATACATTTTGGTCTCCTTGTTTGCTTGAAATACTGATTTGATTCTACCAACTACTTCACCTAAAATTGCACTTCCCGACATAGAACAACTTGTCACACAAACTGTTCCATGAAGATTAATCTTCACTCTGCTGGAGGTAGACACCTCATTTTGAAAACCTCCTGAGCAATTAAAGAATGTCATTTTGCCCTCTGAAGGGCATGACTGTTCTTAGCCTATTCTCCTGCTGTTGTTTTCTACTTTTCTTGTCACCACAGCTGGCGTTTAACCAAGATGCTGTTTCTGAATTGTCCCTTTCTTCCTTCCCCATGCTCCTTCTTTTCTCCTTCATTCTTTCTTCTGTCAACATCTCGATATTGTCTGTGGAATGATTGATGATGGTACAGAGAATGCTTGTTGATCCTTCAGCAAAGAGGGCTGAATGCTTCCATGCACTGTTTTAAGAAAAGGATATATGTTGGCATTTTAGTTATGTTACAGTGTTTCTCGCTGCAAATATAGTTGTCTTCCCTAACACCTCCCTATATGTGCCCCAAGCACTTGTCACCCTAGTTGCCAACTTCACCACCTTCTGCCCAGTATGATAGCTGTACATTACATCACCATAACCAAGACTATCATATTCAAAAAGTGTGTTGGATTGAGGTGTCTAGATGGACAGAACTTAATTCTGTCTCTCTTGCCTGCGTATCTTCTGTGCACTCTCTCTGTTTTCCTGTTATTGCCGGACAGTGCGATCCAAAGCAGCATTGTGGGGGAGCAATTGAGCTATTTTTAAAACAGCAAAATCTGTTTATGACGCCCTATTTTGCCCTTTCGAATGTTATTAAGAAATTCCTGACAATGGAGTTATATGCAGAAAGTAATTACATTTAAAAAAAAATCAGCAACAAACACAAACCATAAACCAGCTGGTGACCAAGTGGTCTTTAACCCTTCTTAGTCCTTCCTGCCAACACTGTTGTAGGTTTGCACAATGAAGACGGAGCCATGAAAAATAGCTCACCATCAGCAGTATCTGCACAGGTGTTCTGTGTGTGTTTGTTGTTTTGGGTTTTTTTTAGTGGAATATGTCAATTCTTACTGCCCTTAACTTGCTGTTTTCTATGCTTTAGCCACGGACAACCAATCTTTGCTCAATACCACTAAGATTAAGGAGAGATCATACCTGACTGCGGTGGTGGCAGTGTCAGAAATAACTCTCAGCTCTGTAACAGCTCCTGGTCTCCCACACTATTTACACAGAGGCAGCTGTTCCTTATCTCCTCTGGAATAAAATGGCACATTAGATTAAAAAACAATTTTTGAAGGAAATTTTAGTTCCAAGTGTATAAGAATTGAACTATCTGCAATCTAACAAT